AATCAACACCATGAGAGGGTAATAAATTCATAAATGAATGACCTCTCCTTATTTTAAATAACATTTTTTTAAATATCTTCCAATCTAATCTAATCTATTTTTCAAATAATATTCCCTACAAGATTGCGAATCTGTCATACCATCTGATCGGATCACTGATGCCATTAACCCTACGATTTTGGCGCCATTTGATGCGTTCCAAAATTCATCAAAAAATGAGTTAATGTGCCACGCGAAGTTTAAGATGTCTTTTCATGCTGACACACGATGCTCATTTTCAGTGTCAAAACAAATCACTTGATAAAAATTGACGAATCACAATATCAAGTGTTAATTTTGATCACATAATTTATTTTGATGCTAAAAATAAGCATGAAGCGTCAGCATAAAAAGGCACCTTTAAGATGTTAATACGACCTTTTGACATCTTAAAACTATACTTAAGACAGTCTTAAATACAAAAATTAACTATAAATGCCAGAATACTGATCACAAAAGTCTGTGGAAAAATTTCACATAAAATATAAATATAAATAAAAAATAAGAATATAAAGAAATATTTATATGAGCTTAAAGAAGCGCCTGGTTCTAAATACGAGAAGTAAATCGATGACCCAGCTCACACATACTAAAAAAAATAGAAAGTTTCTCAGAGAAATGATGAAAAGAAATCAGGTGTGCGTATTCTCAAGATGAATAATTTCGTCGAGATAAAATAATTTTTAAGTGACAGCTCGAGAGACCAAAATAAGTATACTTGCCACATAAAAATCATCGAAAAAAAAAATTCATAAATATATATTTTTATCGCTTCTCAAAAGAGAAAGCGTTAATATTAAAGTGGAAACAAGCTTGTGGGAAATCAATTTTTATTATGATATAAGGCCTAGTTTAAATAACCGCGACAAAATGGCGACATATGGTGTCACGTTTTTATTGGCTGTTAGAATTAAAGGTACGAAATATTTCGACTAGTTTTAAGTGGTTTTTAGAAATAAACGTGCATGGAGAAGCGAGCGTCTATAGGACGTAAGTGTTCATGATTTAAAAGTGGTTGTAAACAAGACGCTGCAGGCTGTAAAATGAGAATGAAAAGTAATTAATAAACCGTTTGAATTCGATTCTATTTGATTTATGAGACAAAGTTTTCTCAGGAATTATTTCCTCACGATTTGATCGATTTTTTTGTATTTAGCTTAATGCAGTGGTCACAAGTTGATGAGAATAGACACGACATCCTGTAAATTCCATGATAAAACTCGAACGATTTCGTGGCAAGGTAAATTTTCAGATTGTAATAATATTAATATTTTAACGAGATAAAAATAGTGTCAAATTTTTGACAAGTATACAATATAATGCCCTTATCTCTGATTTTCCTAAAAACAAACGGGACTTATGTGACGATTTTTTTCTCAAAATATATTCTATGCATGAAAATACAAATTTACAAAATTATAAGAAAATCAGAGATGAAAACATTATACTGCACATTTACCAGATTTTTAAATTTATGATAACAAATATTTATTAGACAACTAATATTAAGATTGGAATTTCTGTTGAACTTTTGCTTACAAAGATTTTTGTATGATATTCGTATTTTTGGTGTCTTTTAGAAAGACATGAAGATAGAAATCTCTTGATAATTAATAATTTATTAAAATTTCAGAGGTTATATCTCACTGCTGATTAAAATAAATCACTGACTACTTCGTGAAGATGTTAGTATAACCTCAAGGATTCCATCTCTTTCATACTTCCACATAAGATTTGTTGTAAACAGCATCAGTGACGTGTATATTAAGAGTGCAAAATGGATCAGATGCTTCCGAGTCCCGGCTTCAGTATACCTAGCATCGGCACGCCTCTGCATCAACCAGAGGAGGATCAACAGATCCTGCCGAATGCGTTACAGCAGCAGCAGCAGTCACAACAATTCCAGCAATTGCAGCAACTGCACTCGATGAGTCCCAATATGCAGAGTGGCATGCTAATGATAACGCCATCACAAAAAAATATGCACACATATGCTCCAACACCATCGTTTGCGACACCACAGAGTCTTATGCAGCCACAAACGCCAGTAATTCAATGTTGAATTTAATGTTATCTATGCTAAGTATAATATTACGATGGAATTAAAAATTCTAGACCTGTTAATAGTAATATGTAACAGAAGTATATTTTTTGTGATGCTGATGAAAGAAATATTTAATTTGATGTTTTTTGATATTAAGTTTTTTTTTAAGAACTTTTAAGTTTAAAAATTTTCAACTATATAACAAATTACAATACTTGAACTTAACATAAATTAAATAAGATTATGAAACTAGATTATTCCAAATCATTACTACTTAAAAGGAAAATTTTTTTAGGAAATTTTTCCCAATTTTTTTAGGAAGTTTTAAGTCCATTTTAAGTTTCTGATACTCAAACTTAATCCATAACTGGATTTTAGATCCTAAGATATTTTTTCAGGAAAATATTCTAGAATCTACATTACAGTTATGGATTAATTTTGAGTATTAGAAACTTAAAATTGAAAAAACACACGTTAAAGAACGTCAAATTTCTGTTATACAATAACGATCTTGTGCAATTCTGAGTAAAGAATTTGAGAGACTGAAAGAGATACAATTAAGATACAGTATTCTAAGCATATTAATATTTGCTTTATTATTTTAACTGGTTTTTCCTTCTTCTTTAGCAAAATATGATGTCTCCGATAGTACCACAAAATAATCAAATAGCACCGTCATCGATAGGTCCCGCGACCCCAGGACCAATGACACCAATGACCCCAGCTTCCGCGGATCCTGGAATTTTACCACAGTTGCAGTAAGTAATTCTTTCAATAAAAACACTTGACATATAATTCATGTCTGCCTTTTCTTATTTCTTTAATCATATTTCCGCTTTATTTTAGAAATATTGTGTCTACCGTTAACTTAAATTGCAAACTTGACTTGAAAAAGATAGCACTTCATGCCAGAAATGCCGAATATAATCCGAAAAGGTTTGCAGCTGTTATCATGCGAATAAGAGAACCAAGAACCACCGCACTGATATTCAGTAGCGGCAAAATGGTTTGTACTGGCGCCAAGAGTGAGGCAGATTCACGTCTTGCTGCCAGAAAGTATGCAAGAATTATCCAAAAATTAGGTTTTCCTGTAAGTACCGGCAAACTTATTAAAAAATGATATAAAATGAGTTATTTTTCTCGATATAGGTTTTTTAAATATAGAATTATTTACTAAATAAATAACAATAAATAAAGAGCAAAATAAGAGTCAAACACATTTTAAATTGTAACACAATTAAAAAGAATAAATTACAAAGAAAAGTAAAAATAAAAAAAATACAGTTTAAATTCAAATATAAAACATTACAAATTTCGGCCGGATTGAGCCCTCTTCAAATATTAACTCGTAATAATCTTTCTGTAATACTTAATAAATCCATAATTTGACACATTTAATCGCATGAGAACCGTAGCATTTAGATATAAACTTGAAATATGAAATATGTGTTCTAAAAAGAATTATTTATACAATTTATCGCGACAAAATATTTAATAATAATGTAAATCTTTATTAATTGATATTACGATTTAATTTTACTTAGGCAAAGTTCCTAGATTTTAAAATCCAAAATATGGTCGGCAGCTGTGATGTTAAGTTTCCAATTAGATTAGAAGGTTTAGTGCTCTCTCATGGCCAATTCTCGTCATATGAACCAGAGCTATTTCCAGGTCTAATATATAGAATGGTTAAACCTCGAATTGTATTGCTTATATTCGTCTCAGGGAAAGTAGTATTGACAGGTGAGTGTTCATACTTTATATCTGTTATATGTATAGTAATTTTGTAATAAAGTATATACATGTTGCAAAACATTTTGGGAATATTTTTAAAGTTTTTTACAATTTTCAAATATAATTCATCCAGACCTGTAAGAATTTGGAAATTAAGTTCGGAAATTATTACATGTTTGTACTTAAATAATTATTGTATGCTTATATATGTCACCAGGTGCAAAAGTTCGCAGAGAAATTTATGAAGCCTTTGACAACATCTATCCAATCTTGAAAAGCTTTAAAAAGCAGTGAATCTACATCATTAAATTATAAAAGAAAAATTATGTATTTTCTTTTATAATTTAATATGACAATTTATTTCCAACCAACTCCATTTCTAATAGATTTTAGTTATTTTTTGTAATATATAAAGTAAGTCACGTAAATGAGCAAATTACTACTTCAATGTTGTTGAGTTGTTAAATATCTCTATTAAATTCAACACATAACAGGATGTCTTAAAATTGTTGGATATTCTTACTGTAAATCGTCTCTATAAAACTGATCTTTTTTTAATAAAAACTTGACGCACATAATTTTTTAGTAATAAGCGTTGAAAATAAACATTTTTGTTAATTAGATTACGAGAGAGAAAAAATATTCTTCCATTCAGTTATAAGTTTCTATGAAATAAATTCTTCAATACTGAAGATGACGAGATCATCTTTATATTGAATGAAAAAGCTGCGATAAAAAAATATCCACTGATTTTAGGACATAATGTACAAAGCAATTGACTTATACAGATTAGATAATATAATTTATAAAATATATTTCCGTTCAATTCTTCATAAAAAATATTAATTTTTTCAATGTGTAAAAAGCAAACAGAGTGAAGGTACAACTTGTGTAATCTTAGAACGATTTTGTTTTCACATTGGCTACGTTCAGCGGACTCAACAGTTGAGTGAGCGCTCGCTGTTATTGATGTATTCTTTTAGATCATCCAATTAACATTTTAGACCTGGAAGGAATACATCAATAGCAGCGAACGCTCACTCAACTGTTGAGTCTGTTGAAGCCATTTACTAAACCAATTAACTGATTAACTGATGATAACCGAAATTCTAAAAAAATATCTATACAAATTATGTATATATTGTAACCAAAAGTTTCTAAACCTTCCCTTTTTGCCTTCCTTAAAGATAATAGTGCATATAATTCTATATTTACAAAATAGTATCTTCTAGTAATACAGTGCCTCGAATAAGATTACATGAGTGATTAATGTGTATTTATTAATTTTTTAATTCTTAGCAGATACTGTATATCAAATAAGGAAGAAAAGTGCCAGATACTATGAGATTTTATAAATCTCATTACATAAAATTCTAATTATGTAATAGAAAATATTAAAAGATTTACCGTTATGTTTTATAATTATACTTTATGATATATAACATGTATAATTAATCAATACAACTTTTTTTTATTTTAAATGTTATATTATAAATACACTTCAAAAAAATTTATATCTGCTAAGAATTATTATTGTTATATACATGTTATATACACTTGGAAAAATTGTTGTAACACCGTTGAATAATTTTCTCCAGTTCAATTGCTATTTATTAAAAGTAATTTGATATACAAATTTCGTCTTTTGAATGAGTATTACAATCAACATCCTTAATACTTTCTCAGCAAAATTATTTTTTTTTACTATAAAATCTATTTCGTTTATCGGAAAACTCTTGAAATTGTTCAATTACATAGTAGAATTATACGACAGCATGAGGTCGTCGAACTGAAACTTTCAATTCTTGAAAAAAATGCGGAAAGAATAATTTTTTGCTAATATTAAATACTTATATTAAATACTTAATAGAATTTACTTGACTTATTATAAAAGGCTTAATATTTTTGTAAATCCATTTCGAATAGAATGTACATAGAAAGAAAAACACAATTAGGTTTTTAAATACATAAGCTATAATTTACGTAATTATTGGTACTATTATATATTTATAGATATATTATATTTTTGTTGCACATAGCGCATGTTTGATTATAATAAAATTGTGTACAATAAAAATATTTATTCTTTGTTTCTTTGTCAGACATAAAATGCTTGATAGAAAAAAATGTACACATATATTTAATAAATAAGAGAATTATGTATTTTGAGTGTGTAT